CATCGAAGTAGTCTCATTAGTCTGGTTTTCAGAAATTATTTGTAATATTTTGGGTAAACACCCAGCAAACGTCCGTTTTACGAATAGTCGATATTACCAATGACCTTTGCCCTTTGCATCATCGACCAAGTAATAACGTTAAAAAGTCCGATTGCGTCGTTTTTCAAAGTGATAACGTATATTTTTCTTAATAATAAAATCAGATTTGTGGTATTTATTTATTGACAATTCAATCTTTTCTATTTCTGCTATAATAGTCGCTATTAATTCAATTTCAACGAACTACCACCAACGCCAGTCGTTAAAATGAGCGCACATGTTTACGATGACGAAATAAAAAAGTGTGTGGCAGTCAGCAACTTATTTGACACCGCGAAGCTATGGTAGATCTTCGCGAAGTGCATGTAAACAACACAATTAAGCGATCTAAAAACTACAAAATAGGACAGAAAGGTCCATAAAGTATACATACGTTTTAATGAAAATTAAAATAATATTTTGTTTAAATGGAAGAATGCTAGCTAGCGATTAAAATAATTCGTTTTTTATCGAAGGTAAATGTAGCTAGGGCCAGGGCCTAGAGAATCTACCACTTAGATTGCGATAGAACACGCTGCTGCACTGGTCGTTGGTTCATACTGGTCGGCTAGGTTAGGTAGTGGAAACTCACACCTTGTCTACAGTAGTTTACAATTTTTTTTAACGAATACCACTTGGTACTAGAGGTTCGTAAAATACAGTAGATGTTTTATTAAACAAGCCTTTCGACCGAGTGACGTCAACGGCCTGAAACTGGCTGGCTGTTTATCTGGCTCTAACTTGGCATCGAACGCAATTCGGGGATTATCGTATCATGTTTCAAGACGGGTATATCTAAAGTTCGACGTGAACCAGGCTAAATAGTAATGTCAAGTTCGTCAAGGTCAATACCTCCTCATTAACTGTTAATGATACCATTTAAATTAATCATGTTAGCCTTCATTCTACCTAGTACAAATACAGTGTTCATGGGGTCTTTGTTATCAACACGCCTTATTTCGACTTCATAATCATATCACACTATTCATTAGGCCGATACCTTGCCTTCCATAGTCTGTATGTCAAACAAATTATAAAGAAAATATCGGATACCGACGAAATCGAAAACATCGCTCTACACAAATTAGAAAAAGGTAGGAAAAAATTGAAATAGTTTTTTTCTGATTCTGCATCTTACTTTTTTTTAAAATTATTTATTTATTTATTTTTTGACTAAGGTGCCTGATTATCTGATACAGTTTTGAAGGCAAGTATATAATATTGGCTTTCTCTGGCACAGTTTATAATTACCGAATTACTTAATAAGTATTATTTTTGTTATATAGGCATACTGTAATTATAAACTACTATCGACATAACTGATAGGTTACTTTAATCAAATTTTAATTCCAAAATAGAGCCTCAATGGCCAAGTTGGAGAAGGCGTATGCATAGGAAGTAGAAGGTCCCGGTTTACAATCCCGGTTAGAGCAACATTATTCACACTTGCAGATCAGTGGTTTATCTTGGTGTCTTAAACTTTGGGGCCGCTAATGGGGGACACTAAGGTGAAGTGGGGAGCTAATCAGCTGTTGAGTGGGAGTTAACTGGCAAAATAAGGTGACTTTAGGTGCTTTTTAACAACCTGGATCATGATTTTTAGGGGGCGCCTCTCGCACACACCGATAGATACACCACTGTTGCAGATACCTCTTTTTAAGGTATAAACATATTTATTTACATATGGCCTAATGGTATGAGACATATTATAATTAGGTAAATTCGTCCTTCATGTATTGCAAATAATAGAGATCATTTATATACGGTACCGTACGCACTCATTCATAATAATCAATGAAATAATAATGTTAATATTACACTAGACTATAAATATGATTACAGTACATTAGGATAATAATAATAATAATAATAATAATAATAATAATAATAATAATAATAATAATAATAATAATAATAATAATCAATCAATCAATATTTTTAATACTAATGAACGGAAAATATTTTTTACTTTATTTCAACATCAGTTTTCCTTCTCATTATGTCAATGTAGGAAAGCCCAATGTGTTGTAGCGAAGAAAAACAATAGGTGTCAGTTATTTATGCTGGGGACCAGAAGGCCGTTAAGAATCCTCGGTGGCAGTTACGTATACGAAATTAATTATTTATTATTTTTTTCTTTCTGTTTTTTATTTATTTATTTTTTTTTTGAATTTTATTAGTCATTTGATATACTTCGACCTAATGTATTGTGACATAATTTTTCTGATGTCAAAGTCAAAGTCAAAGTCGTCGTTGATTCCACAATCACAATGTATTCCAAGCATCATGAGGGGACACCTGTCACGCCAAAATTGGTCCGGGCCAAAAAATGTCCGGCGGACAGACTTTGGCCGCCAAAATCGGTCCGCCGGACTACTAAAAACGGTCCTCGGGATTGATTTTAGCCACTAAAACCTGTCCCGCTTGACTTCATTTGTAACTCGTCTGCTGCTCGTAGGATATGATTGTTTCTCCCGTGGAGTGGAGGAAAGTATGCATCTCCCACACTTGCAAAGTCTTATCATAGAGAAAATAGAACAGTGACTTATGCAGTGACAGATTGATTTGTTAAGCTTTTGAGGAAGTATTTTATCAAACCACCAGATACGGTAATGCATTTCTAGGCCTAGGAGATACACACAGCGGACACAGCGTGCATCATTTGAAACACAAGACTGATTTATTAGTTTTAAATATTCCTTATTATTGTGTGGGGTATTAGGTCATACAATAGGTTCTAATACATGAAAAAAGGAGTAAGCATTCTCAGAATTGAATGCATGTACCAAGGAGGTATATAAAAATATTTTATACCTCCTTGCATGTACTTCGTCGCGGCGATAAGCTGCACACACAACCAAAACTATGGCGAGCCGAGTTGTCATTTAATCATAAATAGAGATATCTTAGTTTTAAATGGAGATATCTTAGTTTTTAATAGAGATATCTTAGTTTTTAATAGAGATAGCTTAGTTTTAAATAGAGATATCTCTATTAATAGAGATATCTCTATTAAAAACTAAGATATCTCTATTAAAAACTAAGATATCTCTATTTAAAACTAAGATATCTCTATTTAAAACTAAGATATCTCTATTTAAAACTAAGATATCTCTATTAAAAATTA